TTTAGTTAGGAACCCAAAGTTCATATCATTAGCTACTTATAACTCTAATATAATAATAATATAATAATAAATAATAGTTTTCTAGATTTTATCTATCCATATTCCTTAGTAATCTCTTGATCATCCAGTTAGGAACCCAAAGTTCACATCATATGCTACTAATAACTCTGATATAATAATAATATTAAAATAAAGAACAGTTTTCTAGATTTTATCTACCCATATTCCTTAGTAATCTCTAGAACATTCAGTCAGGAACTCAAAGTTCATATCATACTACTTATTTATTGAGCAATCATTTCGATTACAGGTGACTAACCGGACGACTGTGACCCCACGACAGAACTCAGAACTTTGAACCGAACTACAGGGCGCACTTTTACACCCCCCACATTGGTTCATTCATTCATTTGCCAACAAAACACAAAACACTGGGCCCAGTCATTTAGCAACTATTCAGTATTCAGCCAGGGCCATATATACTACGATAATTACCTGAAAAATGTACTATACTGCAGTATACGAAAACAAAAGCAGCAAACAAACAAAAACGAATGCAATGCAATTCGATCTCGAACTGGATCTCGTTGTCTTCCGCTTCTCAATTGCCGTAAAACGCAGTTTGAGTGGGGCTATTGCATAAGTATCAGATGTAAATCTAACGATAACTTGGGATTATATTGACTGCGGATGGAATATTTTGGGATGTAGCTTCAATTGGACCAAACGAAGGTATTTATATGGAAATATATTTATATATTTGAGGGAAGTCGAATAAAAATTCCAGATCCCTCGATTAGCGCAGGTCAAGTGGCAAAGCAATCTATAATATAGCCCTCCTCAATTTTAACACCTCGAAGCTGAACCCTCTTTTTGCGCTTTTTGTTTACGATTATAAACAATAAACATATTTATGATCGGTCATATAGAATAAAACTCACGAAAACTCGACAATGGAATTTGTGCGAATTTTTGTGGGAGAAGCACTGGGTGGTGGTGGCCCCATGTCAAGCACATTGGGAGTGTAATTAGAATTGTTGCCGAACCTCAAGTTGATAAGCCCACATATATGGAATAAAATGGATCCAAGAGGAGCAGCGAATACCCTTAATCGATATCGTTTCGGAAGGTTAAAGCAAGGTTAAGGTGGGATTATGTAGTAAATACCACGGGTTTACTTGGGAAGTATTCTTAATAAACTATTTATAAGTCGCGGAAGGCTGATTAAACTTAAGAGCGTTTCCCGTTTTAGAACCCAAGTTCCAAAAGTGACCAGCTATAAATACGCAATAATCTTTGCTCTCCAAGTGAACATATCATATATATGAAAAAAAAAAAAAAAAGTTTTATAAAGATTGCCCAACCGAAGATCATTAAAGTTAGTTCTGTTCATACCCCCCACTTGACTGATAAGCGAATTCAAATGGTAATGCTCGGCTCAACAAGTTTTTGCCATATGTTTTTTTTTTGGACCCCAATGAATGGACCTCTGTAGTTTTTATTTTTATTGACTGGCGCACTAGGAAATCGGTCCCTTTGATTAACAGCGAGAATTTACTATGTACTTGTGGAGCGACTAGCCATAATGGTTTTTACTATACGCGTTTGTTGACTCATATATTATAAGATTAAGTTTTAGTTGGGGCTGATTCATGGGGAAAATAGTGGCAATCTTCAGATAATAATATTTAAATTTAACTTGGTATACCTGTTTTTACCCATTTCTGATATCTTATAACTATTTTATTTTTACCAACTTGTGACCACAGCTGATTTACCTAATGTTTATCTACCCTTCCCGAAACTCAGTTCCATTAAGGCTTGTTGTGCTGAGAGATCTGGCCGGGCGATAAAGTCAATTCACCCCAATCGACGTGATTCCCAAACGAGTCCGATGGATGAAAGTAAAAGTGCAAAAGCCAGTGCGCCGATAATACCCCTCCAGAACTCAGAACAGAACCCCTGATAAGCATTTAACGTACCCGGACATTGGGGTTATATGCGTACTCCAAAATGTAGTAAAATTCGCCTCTGCTGTCAAGCAGTAATTAATTCATGTTTTATTTTATTTTGTTTCGTTTAGTACTATCTCTTTCTATATATCTTCCAAAAATCAGTCTCTTTTTTTTTGTATACTGAGTGGATTTACTATTTTCGGCCCCGAGATTGATAAACACAGTCATTGGCATTGATTGGCCCCCCAAAAAAAAAATGTAGCCATTCCTTTTGTCAAGTACTTCCAACGAATATTCCTCCCCGGGGTCCGCTTATCAAATCGAAAAAGGAAATATATAGAAATTAAAATGGTCTAGCCGTTGGTGGTATACAATTGCATAAATCAAATATTGCCGGGCCAGAACTTTCCCTATCGAAGGAATTCGATCGGCTTTTGCCCCCCGCCCGATAAGCTTTGCGTTCCAGACTCCGGATGCGGCAATATTTTACGGGCAGGCCTACGAGTGCAATGCGAACGGTGATCGATAGTGCCGAGATAATTCCAATAACCTTGAGATCTCAAGTGCCTCGGCGGGGGTGCAGTGGGCGTGGGCCATTCTGATCGCATTCCTATGGCTTGAACGCAGTTTGCCAATTATAGCGTTGTGTTTATTGATCCCCAAAGCCCCTAAGCCCAAACGATCATACGATGCTGTCCAAATTTCATTCATATTTTAATGGCTTCGGATTCGATAAGCTATAACTATAGCTATTGCTTAAAGAAAATAGGTAAATAAATGTTTTTAAAAAAATATATCTTGTATTTCCTTACGGTAATAATTAATCTGATCGTATTGGTTGGTTTCTTTGCTAACCGAAACGGTAAAGTTTAACCTATTGATCGTATCGGTTATTTGTTTGCTTACTAAACTATAGTTTTTGTTTGAGGAAAACAAGTAAATAAATGTTTTTATAAATGTATAACCTTTTTTTTATTTTTCATACTCAACTTTTTTGGTAAAGGGTAAAATATATCATGTATTTCCTAACGGTACCGTTTAATCTGATCGTATAGGTTGGTTTCTTTGCTAACCGAAACGGTCGAGTTTAACGTACTGATCGTATCGGTTATTTGTTTGCTTGCTAAACCGGTTAGAAAACCTTATCGTAACGGGACATTTGTTTGCCAGCGATAACGGTTGAAACCAGCTGTTTGCGTGAGTGGAAAAGTTTGGCCAACTGGCTCGTCGATGCCAATCAATATCAATAACGGCACTTAACAAAGGGCCAGGCGACAGATAGAGATAGTCGGACACACAATTGAGTGTTTTATTTCGGTTCCCTCGCTTTTTTGTCGCCAGTTCGCTTGATGGTTAATCAATGGCAGTTGCTCAAATATGCAATCAGCGGACATAACCTCAAAGGGCAGGCTCAAACACGCCCACGTGCCAGAAAGAAAGGGGGCGAGATAAGAGAGAAAGAGAGAGGGAGGAGAGGGCAAAAAGTGTGTCAGTCGGCACACACACACACACACACACACCCGCTGAATCCTCTCCCAACGAGAAAAAGCGTGGGAGTGGCAACGGAAAAAGTTGATACAAAAACCGGGACTGATTGTGTAATCTAGAATTATGTAGTTTTGGACCCACTACGTATATGTATGTATATATAGCCATATGCCCGAGTATGGTAATCAAGGCGAACTTATCAAAGTCAGGCGTACGAAATTACTGCAAGACACACGCCGTAATTGTTGTTTTTCTTCTAGTTTTCTGTTTAATTTTTCTCGCGTTTTTTTTCTGTTTCCATTGTGTTTTGCCCTTGAGTTTGTCCTTTTTGAGCAGAAGCGTCGGCAGAGGCTTTTGTTGTTATACGTGGCGGCGCATGTAAACTGGTTTTGGTATAACAGTTTTGGCCAGAGAGAGTGCGGCTCTCTCTCTCTCTCTGGCGGCGGCCCACACCGACACACCAACACACATGCGCAGGCCGGTGACGAGCCTCCTACGCGAGTATGTGTGTGTGTGAGTGAGTGCTGCACGTGTTGCCAAACGCAGAAAATACGATAAAAAAAAACAGAAAAAAAACCACAGCAGTTGGAAACCACGACTAAGAGATACCCGCTAAACAAAATATGTTGCCTACTTTGTGGCGTCACTTTGCAATTTTTATCACGCATACGCACTGTTGCCTTTGATGAAATGTATTATTTTCCCATACATATGTACTATGTCGGTGACCTTGACAAACCTTTAATTAAATTTTAAGTGAATTTTAGACCACTTGTCGGCATTTATTAGTCAAAGTTTTGATATTTTATATCCAACCAATTTTTTAGATCATTTTAAACATCTACGATTTTTTATTCATTTTTTAAACGTTCTTAAACTGGAAATCTAATATTTCTTTCTTCTTACATCACAACTAATGGGTATCAAAACACCATGACCCCACCACCACGTGAACCGTTTTGGGGCAACAATTCCGACTCCAATTCCCCGTCGAGATGATGATGCAAGTGCTTCTAATTATAGCCCGACGATTTTGGGCGCCTGCGCGATGTCCTGGCGAAAGGTTAACTTAAGGTGAAATGGCCACAGGTTGCTGCCCACGCACACACACACAGAGGCGCCACGTGCTTGCATGTGCTTACATAAGCGTTGCGTTTGTGTCTGTAAATGGTAATGAACTGATTGCAGTTTCCAAGTATTACATATATTTATGAGATAATTGCGAAGATTATATTATATTTTTTAATTTCTTTGGTGTCCGTTTTAATACCCAATATTTTGGTAAAATTTAGTGCGCCACAAGCACTAGTTTTCTATTTATTGAAGAGATTTAAAAAATCAACGGTCATTTTGCTAAACCCAAGTGGCAACGTTTAAGTGGCAGCACTAATAGAGAATGGCAGCGCTACAAACAGTATTTTTCAGTATTTTTGGTATATTATATATTGGGAGGATGACTCGGCTAAGCCTAGCGAGGACACCAACCCCCTTAGAGAAGAGGAAACATCGATAGTCGCTATCATTGGCCTATCGAAAGCTTATAAAGGCGGAGAAAGAGCGATATAGATTTGTGTGCCATCTCAAGCAACAATGGTTGTTGTTCGAAATCACCGCAAATATTGTATATCCCCCAGTTAATGCAACATAACGGTATTCCCGTCCCCGCATAATGACAACCGACGAGAGCATAATGGAGGAGATGCTGGGTAAGTGGGGCCTTAAATTCACCCCCGTAAATCCCCAAAATTCAGCGCTTTTCTTTCCCCACAGAGAGAGCAACAAATCCGGCTAAGAAAATCGACGAACTGGGCGTGCAAATGTTCTGCATTGTGGTCAAAAGCAACGCCCAGTTGGTCCACAAGGCGCAGGAAATGATTGTGGCCAAGGTGCGATCCTCCAATATAACGGAGGCAACGCGAGCGATTTCGGTACGTGATTACTCCTCTTTTTTTTTTAATTTTCCTAAAAATCACCCCCCTTTTCTGAAAGGGGTGTGTGTACATGTGTGTGTGGGGCTAAATGATTGCCCACTGAACCCACTCACCCACACAGACATAAAACACCGGCGCACAGTGGGCCGTACAGTGGGCGAAAGGCACACAAAAACACACGCACTTGTGTGGCTGCGTTCCATTCGCAGCAAAAACAATAACAACAACAATAGCAATATATTGTTATCATTTTGTGGTCGAAATGTGCGCATGTATTGCACTGTATTGTTTTGCCACCTGGGTACAAAAGCAGCTAAAATAATATGCAACAGATAGCGGCATTTTCATAACTACCATTGTGCTTCATTTACTTATTTAATTTAATTTACTCAAAAAAAAAAATTTATTTAAATAAGCTAGGCATATTAACTTCTTAGGAACTTCCATTGTGCTTCCATTACTAATAAAAATTTTTTTTTTTTTGTAAATAAATTATTTCTTTAAATATGTTATGAGTCATTTACTCCAAAGGAACTTCCTTTGTGCTGCACGTACTTATTTTTATTTTTAACAAATTATCTAATATAAAATCCAGCAGCTTGTTGTTTTAAAATATGTTAATATCGTAAACTTTCTTTGTGTTTCCATTGCCTTTTAAATTTCATTTTAATTTATAATATTCTTATACCCCTATAAAGAAAACAATTTATAATATCCATTATATCATATTTTAAATCGTTTATTTTATTTGCCATTTTAATACTTATATTTTTAAATAAATAAAAAACAGAAATGAGAAATGATATATACGTTATTTTTTAAATTTTGTATCATTCAAGTTTTAAAATTTTGTAATGGAATATGCAGTATTCAAAACAAAATTGTTAGCAAATATATTAAAATAAATTTATTTAGATATTTTAAAGTTTTGACTAATTAATGATTATTTTTTTATTGTTTTTAATTAAACGCCTTTAATTAAATGATATAAGTATTTAAGGAAATCCCTTATTTAAGAGTGTATTTATTTTATTGGTTTAACAAAGTTTAAAATATTTACATATATTTATTAAATATATAATAAAATAAAAATTATATACAAATACCTTAAGATTTTAAAAACTCCTAATTTTTTCAGCTACTGGAGGAGTGCATGACGCAGTGCGGCGACGACTTCCAGGACGAGGCGGCCAAGTTCCGGTTCCTGAACGAACTGATCCGCCTGGTGTCGAAGAAGTACATGGGCGCCGAGACGCCGCACGAGGTGAAGCAGCGGATCATGGAGTGCCTCCTGCTGTGGACCACCGAGTTCCCGCAGCGCCTGAAGATCCGCGACGCCTACGACATGCTGCGCAAGGAGGGCGACATCGAGCACGGCACCACGGAGGCGGCGGTGGCCAAGCGGGAGAGTGTCCTCGGCACCATCGACGAGGCCATGTTCGCCAAGCTGATCAAGAGCAACAATCCCGAGAACTACAAGCGAGCCAACATCCTGCTGCAGTATCGGATGGCCCAGGAGGCGCGACGCAACGATCTGCTGGCCCAGCACCGTCTGGTCCTCAGCGAGGTGCAGGAGACGATGCAGCTGCTCAACCAGATGCTGGACACCTACGACCCCTCCAACCAGGACGTCAGCGAGACGCTGCACGAGCTGTACAAGAGCTGCAAGAAGCACAAGCCCATCTTCCAGCATCTGCCGCAGCTGCTGGACGACTCGGATGCCCAGCTCGTAGGTAAGAATCACCATCACCAGAGGCATCAGAGTGGCCTTTTTCACGCCTGTGATGCGCGAATTCTTTAGAGAATTTCAATCAGAAGTTTAAAACGCCGTGAAGGAGACATTTCCGACCTTATAAAGTATATATATGCTTGATCAGCATCCGTTGTCCGTTTGTCCGTCCGTCTGTCCGTTTCTGCTTAAACTAGTCTCTCAGTTTTAAAGCTATCAGGCTAAAACTTTCCCAAAAGTCTTATTTCTTTTGCAGTTAGTATATATATCGGAGCGAGCCGGATCGGAAAACTATATCATATAGCTCACATAGGAAAATACCCAAAAAAAAAAATTTTAAAAAATTAAATATTGGTTGTCCTTTAACAAATAACCTCCTACTTTTGGAAATATGATTTTTTATATAATTCTGAATTTCAAATTAAATTTTATCAAAATCGAAACACTATATTTTATAGCTGCCATAGGAACGATCAGAAAGTTTATGGGAATATAATAGGAAATAGATTATTGCTTCGTTGGTTTTTATTGTATTATCATTTACTCTGAATTTCAATTTTAATTTTATCAAATTCTAACTACTATATCACATAGATGCCACAGGAACGATCGAAAAATTAATGAGAAATAATAAGAAATTTACCCTTTATTCGATTTGTAAATTTATAGCTATGATCTGCAAGCTAGCTTCCTTTCTTATTCACACCTGTGATCCGCGAATTCTTTAGAGAATTTTATTTTAACTATTTTAGATTATTCCCTTAAGAATTCGCGGATTTGTTTTAACAATGTTAGTTACTTAACCACTTGAATCTATCTTCACAGCCGACACCCTGGATGCCAATGGCGCCCTGCTGACCACCATGCAGCGCTACAAGCTACTGGTGCCCTCGCCCACGAGGAGCACTGCTCCCGCCCTGACCACCAGTACTCTAACATCGACATCCTCGGCAAAAAGCACTTCGACCAGCAGTTCAACTGCAGCAGCTGCTAGTTCCAATAATGCCCTGCTGCTAAACGAACTGCTGGGGGATTTGCTGATCAGTGGAAGCAGCAGCAGCGAAAGTCCGCCGGCAGCAACCACAAACATACCAAATACCGCCAGCAGTAATTCCAATGTTACAGCAGCCACATCCTCCAGTGGTGGAGATCCTTTGGCCGACTTGAGTGACATCTTCAGCAGCGCTCTGGCCGAAAGCGAAGCCAAGCTGCAGCCAAAGCAGCCATTCCAGAATGCCAACACCTTGCTGGAGCCGCAGGTTCTCAGCCAAAACTCCGCCACCGAGGGATTGGCGAATGGCAATGAGGGCAGCAAAGTACCGGGAACAGCTAGAAAGATGCCGCAGATCGATATGCTCAGCGAGGAGCTCTTCCAGCAGATTCTGCCCGCCCAGGAGCGAATGCCCAGCTTCAAGCGGGATCCCGAGAAGCTAACGCTGAACGATTTGGCCCGCGAACGAATGCAGGTGGAGGCAGCTGCTCCTATTCCTATCACCCCTCTCCCTTCTGTTCCTTCCGAACCGGTAGATGATGTTCCCCTGCTCAGCGAGGATGTGGATAAGAGCGAAGAAGTGGCGGCTCCAGTGGCTCCCCTCCCCAGCAAGCCTCTCAGCGAGATTCACGTGGAACTGGACAATATCCAGGCCACCGGGGAGCAGCGCATCGTGCTGGACGATGACGACCTGCAGCTCAGTCTGAACTTCACCAGCGATCGGCCCGGCCATCGTGTGTCGGTGATTGTGATATCGGCGCAGAACAAGAGTCGCCAGCCAGTGCGCGACTTTCAGTTCGAGGCGAGCGTGAAAAAGGTGGGTAAATGATTAAGATACCATGAGAAAAAGGTATTAACTCTCTTAACTTTTTAGCCCTGCAAGGTGCGCCTGCTGCCGCCGACGGACAGCCAGATGCCGCCCCACAAGCCCTTCCGCCCGGCCACGCCCATTAACCAGGTGATGCTCCTCCTGAATCCCACTGGCCAGTCTGTGGATGTCACCTGCATCGTGGGCTACAAGCTGGGCGACGATCCGGATCCCATCAAGGAATCAATTGTGGCCCAGGGCATCGACTATGTGGATTAGAAACTGGCCTACCGTCCTTTTAACAAGACATCCGAAACGATAAAAGTCAATTTTCCCCCGTTCTATTTTCCAGTATCTAAAAGATAAAGATTCTTAATTTCCGTACTGTATGTATATTTATGCCCGTAAGATTTTTATTCAAATTGTCGTACTATAATTATGTATCAAAGGTTTATATAAATTATGAAAAAGTCGCTACAAAAGCCAAGCGCTCATTTTCAGAGGTATTCTCAATTTTCTCTTGAATTGTGGGTGTTTTTTTTTGTGTTTTTGATGATGCTTCAGTTCTGGTTGGTGTGTTGCATCTGCCCCCTTAAAAAAATGCCGCATTTCCTAACGATTGTCTCGCTTGCTTGGCGGCTAGTGAACTTTAAATGGGTTTATGAGCATAGCTGGCAGTTGTTTTTTTAACGAATAGGATATAGAACATAATTTTGAGACTGTTTTTTGGTAAAATAAAACCTTCAATTAATTTCAACAAGGAATATGAATAAAACTACTAGAAAATCAACGCCTAATTAACATAAATTTAGATGTTCGGTGTAAAAAGGATGCAAGGGATTGCTGCCCACAGGAAAATCCACCGCCCGCTTGGAGACAATCAACACTCAGCTGGCCGAAAAGCTTACAAATTGCCTAAATTCTAGCGGCTACCTGCTACACTACTATTTGCCCACTATTTCGTCCTTGAAGGACAGGGCAGTGATGGCCTTCGTGTGGCCGGTATAGTCCCGCATGGGCTCCTTAGTCTCCAGCTTCCAGAGACGAGCAATTCCATCGGAGGAGGCGGTGAACAGCCACTTGGAATCGGCGCTAAAGGCGGCATCCCACACCCAATAGTTATCGATGCGCAGCTCGCACCATTTGTTGGGTTCATCTGGCTTCTGGAAGTCCTCGGTCTTCCAAATGGCCACCGTTCCATCGCCCGAAGTGGTCAGCAGCAGCCGCGAATCCGGACTGAATTTGCAGCGGAGAATGTAGCGCTTGTGCGCGGGAATTTTCTTTGTAGGCCGCAGCGTGCTCATCTTCTGATCCTGACTGCTCAGCGACCAAATGTAGCACTTCCCTTTGTTATTCGCAGCGGCTAGGTAACGACCATCCGGGGAGATAGCCACATCCTGTATGGAGGAGTCCACCTCGGGCACGATGCGCTCGTGACGCTCCGACTTGACGTCCCACAGAAAAACGCTGCCATTCTGCGAGCCCATGGCAATCTCCACTTGATTCGGATGCAAACAGGCGGCATTTACGGGCGCCTCGCAGTCAAAAACACGGGAGCAATGCGGCGGAGCGGAGATCATGTCCCAGATGCGCACATGGTGATCCTCGCCGGCGGTGAACATCCAGTTGCCGTCCTCCTGGAAGCCCAGACGCGTCACATTCTTCTGCACCCCATCGAAATTGATGACCGGAGCGGTGCAATTGGACTCCAGATCGTACAGCCGGATGCACTGATAGCCGCAGGCCGCCAGTCGCGTCTTGTCCGGCGTTCTCTCCAGCGCATTCACTTGCTGGAAGATGAGATATGGATAGATATATGGGGATTTATAGGGATCTAAGGATAGATACCGAGGTCTCCACGAAGCGCATCGTCTTTATGCAGTTGCCCGTGTGCGCCTGCCACACCTTTATCGTGTGGTCGTAGCCCCCGGTGGCCAGGATCAGCTGCTGTTGGTCCCCCATCCTTGTGTTGCCTTGTATCACCGGTTAATTGACAATTTACGCGATGTTTTCATTTGTTAAAAAATAAGAACTACAATAACAAGACTGTTATCGATAGCCGGGCGATACTGTTGGTCTTGGCCAATCGATAAGTTTCGCCGTGTTGGTAAGCGCGTAATTATTCTTAGCGCATTCCGCGTTTTACTGTTACAAATTTAAACTTTTAAATTGCAATTTTTTTTTTCGACTGGAAATTTTTTAACGAGTTCAGAAAGGTTGACAATCCATATCTGGATCAATATATTCATTGTTACGGTCAAAAAACGAATTATTTTTTTGTGAAAAATTGGGATTTCGGTTTTTGGTAAAAATTTGCAATTTTTTCTGTTTGTTTTTTTGCTATAACTTGGCCAAAAATGGTCCTACACCAAAACTGAATACTGTTTTGAACAGATAACTAAAAAAGAAAAAAATCCATAACACTTTCGGGGTGATCCTGCAAAAATAAAATTTTCGCCAATTTTCAATTTTTTTGTAAGGGGGTACCTCATGATTTTTTACGAAAAATGGCAAAAAAATTTAATGTCCAGGTTTAAATGCCAATCGATAGGAAATTTAATAACGAGTTCAGAAAGGTATGACAATCCATATTTGGATCAATACTTATATTGTTACGGCCAAAAAACTAATTATTTTTTTGTGAAAAATTAAAATCTGGGTTTTTGGTAAAAATTTGAATTTTTTTCTGTTGGTTTTTTTGCTATAACTTGGCCAAAGGTGGTCCCACATCAAAAATGAATACTGTTTTCAACAGATAACTAAAAAATAAAAAAATCCATAACACTTTCCGGGTGATCCTGCAAAAATAAAATTTTCGCCAATTTTCAATTTTTTTGTAAGGGGGTACCTCATGATTTTTTACGAAAAATGGCAAAAAAATTTAATGTCCAGGTTTAAATGCCAATCGATAGGAAATTTAATAACGAGTTCAGAAAGGTATGACAATCCATATTTGGATCAATATTTAATTTTTTACGGTTAAAAAACCAATTATTTTTTTGTAAAAAATTGGAATCTGGGTTTTTGATAAAAATTTGAATTTTTTTCTGTTTGTTTTTTTGCTATAACTTAGCCAAAAATGGTCCTACACCAAAAATGAATACTGTTTTGAACAGATAACTAAAAAATAAAAAAATCCATAACACTTTCCGGGTGATCCTGCAAAAATAAAATTTTCGCATGATTTTTTACGAAAAATTGCAAAAAAATAAAATGTCCAGGTTTAAATGCCAATCGATAGGAAATTTAATAACGAGTTCGGAAAGGTATGACAATCCATATTTGGATCAAGATTTCCATTGTTATGGTCAAAAAAAGAACTATTTTTTTGTAAAAAATTGGGATTTTGGTTTTTGGTAAAAATTTGCAATTTTTTCTTTTGCTGCTTTTTAGCCAAGTAAAAATGGTCCTAAATAATAACGAAATAAATGTTTAATCCCAAAAAAATTAATAATTTAAATTTAACCAGAAGACGCCGCAATAAAATAGCCAATAGGTTATTGGAAAGGAAAGGTTTATTTGTCGAATAACTTAGCAACTGGGTCTAGCCCGGGACCAGCGTAACGTACAAGGATTGGGGTTGAGTGGGTGAGCGGTGGCCCTCTACTGCTGAGTGGCCGGAGCAGTTTCCGCCGCCGTGCGGTTGGCCTCCTCCGGCTTCATGGCGGGGAAGAGAAGAACCTCCTGTGGAAAAAGCAAATGATTTAGCAATGATTTCTTCTTCCCAAATTTAAAACCCACCTTGATGTTATTGGAGTCCGTGAGGAACATGGCCAGCCGATCGATGCCCATGCCGAAACCGCCGGTGGGCGGAAGACCGTACTCCAGGGCCGTGCAGAAGTTCTCGTCGACCAGCTGGGCCTCGTCATCCCCAGCCGCCTTATCGCTGGCCTGCTGCTCGAAGCGTTCGCGCTGCACGACGGGATCGTTCAGCTCGGTGTACGCGTTGCAGATTTCCTTCTTGGCCACGAACAGCTCGAAGCGCTCCGTCAGGCCGGGCGTGCTGCGATGGTACTTGGCCAGCGGCGACATAATCTGCGGATGCTCGCAGATGAACGTCGGATTGATGCAGAACTCCTCGATAAACTCGCCCACCAGCTTGTCCAGCAAACGGGCGGTGGTCCGCGGCGCGGGGCACTCGACCTGGTGTTTGGTGCATAGCTGCGAGAGGAACTGATTCGTCTCGGGCGTATTGAAGGTATCGGCAGCCGGGAACTTGACCTGCAGCTTCTCCTCCAGCGTTTTGATCATGGACACCCGCTTAAAGGGTGGCGTAAAGTCAAGTTCTTGCTCGGGTCCCTCGGGACCCTCTGGGTGATAGATGACCTTGTAGGATCCGCGGATGGCCTTCACCATGCCCGCGACCAACTGCTCGGTGATGTCCATAATGTCGGCGTAATCGGCATACGCCATGTAGAACTCGCAAGTGGTGAATTCGGGATTGTGGGTGAGGTCGATGCCCTCGTTGCGGAACTGCCGACCGATCTCGTAGACGCGGTCGAGCCCGCCGACCACCAGCATCTTGTGGTAGAGCTCCGGAGCGATGCGCATGAACAGGTCCATCTTGAGGTCGTTGTGATGGGTTACGAAGGGCTTGGCAGTGGCTCCGCCGGCGATCATGTTCATCATGGGCGTCTCGATCTCCAGGAAGCCGAGGCGATCGAGGAACTGGCGAACGTAGGAGATGATCTACGGGGGAAAATATAAGGTAAAATAAGCTTCAGAACTTGAGAACTAGAGCCCTGCGTGAATCATTCAATTTTTATCATAGTATGCCATGAAATTTATGATTTGTTTAATTCAATTCTATGTGAAATAAATTGAATGTTTTTCTAATTAATTTCAAATTAATTGAATGAATAATTTTTATGAATTTACTAGATTTTCTTTGTGCTTTCTTTTGAGAACAAGAGTGGAAAATTTTTAACAAATCAATTTTAACTGCTTAGAAAACAAAATTCATGCAGATTTAATCACAAAATTATGGCCCTTTCTTACGGAATTCATGGCATTCATTCATAAAATTCTATTAAACTCCAAATTCTTATTAATTCAATTCTATTAATCTCAAAATTCAAATTCATTTAATTCTATTAATCTCAAAATTCAAATTCATTTAATTCTATTAAACTCAAAATTCAAACTCATTCAATTCTATTAAAATCAAAATTCAAATTCATTCAATTCTATTAATCTCAAAATTCAAATTCATTCAATTCTATTAAACTCAAAATTCATTCATATGAAACAAAAAATTCCAAATAATTCATTGAATTTATGCAGGGCTCTATTAAGAACTGCTTTGTTTTCCCTACCTTGGCGCGAATCTGGAAGTTCTCGCGCACTTTGTTGTTGAGGATGAGATCCAGGTAGCGCTGGCGGTAGCGCGTCTCCTTGTCCTTGAGCCCGAAATGCAGATGGGGCAGCATGTGAAGGCAGGGCGACAGCAGCTTGATCTCGCTGGGCATCACGGAGAGTTCACCCTTCTTGGTCTTGCCGGGATGTCCGACGACGCCGATGATATCGCCTCGCCTCAGTTTGGCCGTGTCAGTCTCGAATTCCGCCTCCGACTTGTAGGACTTGGCGCTAGCCATCACCTGCACCTTGACGCCCTCGCCGCGCAGATCGTAGAAGATGAGCTTGGCGCCCGACTCGCGGATGGCATGGACACGTCCCGCCACGCTTAGTTGGACATTCTCCAGGGTTTCGCCTTCCTTCAAGCTGCTCTCGTACTTCGCGATGAAGTCCTCTAGTGAACTGCTCACATGGAACTTGTGAGGATAGGGATCGGTGGTGGGTGAACGCTTCAGCTCCTGGACGGCGGCGGAGCGGAGCTTGAAGTATTCGTTGGGGGAGATTTCCTCCTCCTCTGCGCTGCTCTTCTTCTTGCCAGCAGCTCCTTCGGTCGCAGGAGCAGCGGCGGCTGCCTTTTCCGCCTTTTCCTTGGCCTTTTGCTCGGCCTTCAGGCGGCGCTTCAGCTCACTAGAAAAGTGGGAAAAATGTGGTTTTAATAGATATAAATAGATAAATAATAGACGTTGAAGATTCTCCCACTAGGCTGTCATAACAGGGGGCTAATTCACAAGAATCCCTTTATGACAACCTGGCCAACGGTGCGTATGAGTAACCCACAGTTTGGTCTGCTTGCTCGGCTGCAGTTGGCTGCCGCTCACGTGGAAACCTCTGGTCTGTGACCAAATCCGTGTCGACTTGACCATTGGCCACGCCTCCTGCACGGTTTTAAGGGCGCAGCGGGCAAACATAACTAGTTTTAGGAAGAGTATTTCATCAGCCGGCGGACCGAAAACGTTGCTTTGCCTCAACCTAACCTCAAAAACGGGCTGCTGCTGCTGCTTCGTTGGCCTGGTAAACTTTTGCCCAGTTGCGACACTTACTTCTTGGACAGTTCTCCACTTGCAGCGGCCATGCTGTTGCCGGTCTACGTTGCTCGCCTGGTTAAGCCGGAATTCTCGAAAAGCGGCGCAAATGTGAAGCGCCACAAATGTAAAAATAAAGTACACAACCAGGGCTGCCAGACGCGCTGAATTCAAATGGCCGCACGGTCAGGTGGCAACTCTGGGGAGCGGGAAGTGTGACCGTTGCAGGCGCTCTCCTCTAGCTTATTGCACCATTGCCATCTGGTAGCACTGTTTTGCGATAAAAAACTATTCTTTAGCTTTGCAACTTTAATTAACAATTAAACAATTGATAAAATTAAAAGGCGAAAATATAGAACGGCCGGACTAATGGCAGTGAGCGGGGAAATGCGCGGGTCGAAGGGCAGCCAAGGTCACAACGCGGAAGTAGAGCAATTGCAGCTGTAACTGTAACCGTTAACCCTGGGCAGGGCGCGGGGGTTGGGTTGGCTAGGGGAAGAAGAGGAGGCAGAGTGGAAGAGGAAGAGCACATCTTGAGTTCCGGAGGCGGAGGAGAAATGGAGCTGCTGGACAGGAGCCCCGTGGAACCCATAGCAGTCAGCTTGCAGCAGGAGGGGGAGCAAGAGGAGGAGGAGGAAGACGAAGAGGAGGAGGATGATGCCAACAAGGAGGAGGAGGCCTTCTACGATTCGCGCAATGGCAACGAAAGCGATGAACTGGAACAGGCCTTCCAAAGCGCCCTCACCCTGACCAACGATGTCCAGGTGAGTGTGAGTGAGGTGGAGGTGGAGCAGGAGAAGGAGGAGCAGCTTCCTGAGCATCAGGAGCACCTGGGCGCCTGCGCACTGGCATGTAAGTAGCTCCAGAATAACCATAACAATTACTTACCTCAACCCGATCCCTTTTAACAGCCCCCAAGGAGGAGGAGAAGCCACCCCGCCACCAGACGCTGCTCTCCACGAAATCCTGCGAGACCAATCCAGCCAACAGTGCCACCCTTTCGCCCACAAATTCCTACAACGGCAGCATCGGCAGCGATGGCGGCAGCAGCAGCGTGGGCGTGGGCGGCGGTGCCCGTCGCAAATCCTGGACGCTGTCGCCTCAAAGCGGCGGCTCCACGCCCCTCAGCGGCGCCAAGAAGAAAACCAAGGCCACCGCTAGCAACTCCCTGGCCAATGGAGAGGGTTTTAACCTATGGGTGGCTCGCGAATGCTTTGAAACAGTGCCCGCCGAAATGGTGGATAGCCTGAGCATGGCTGAGGTGGAGGAGGAGCAAGAGGAGGAGGAGCAGCAGGAGCAGGAGGAGGAGGAGGATGAGGAGGACGAGGAGGCGGCTGCCGTGGAGAGTCTCCTGGGAGCAGCCGCTGCCCTCCAGGCTAGCACACATGTGCAGCGCCGTCAGCAGCAGCAGAAGCAAGAGCAACAGCATCATCATCATCATCACCATCTGCAGCCGCAGCATCGTCCGCTGGAACGCTCCTGGCCGCCGCGTGCCGTGGGTCGCGATCTCAAGCTGCAGGGCGATGTCTTTCAGTTCGACATTCTGGACACGGACGAGCGGCTGGCCGAGATGGAGATGGCCCAGTGCGGCAGCTCGAACAACTCACCACTGGCCACGCCTCCCGTGCGTTTCAAGCCGCTGCTGAAGAAGAAAATCGGTCCGGATAGCTACATCAATACGATTAGCACGCAGAAAGTGCCCGTGCATCAGAGCTATGAGTTTCCCACCTTCCCCAGCTCCTCCTCGGGTGTCGGATCCTCGTCGCAATTTCCCCATCTCCGCCAGCACCGTCCACTCACCCGAGCTCTGTCCAATGGCAAGGCTAGCTCCTCGGAGGATCAGGCCTCGCCGCGACTCCTGCTCTCGCCAAAGCGTCCCCGAAGTCCGCCCTCCGGCTGCTCCACGCGCAGTGCCTCGCCGCTGGATCTCAGCCTCAGTCCCGAGCAGCATTCGCCCACCAGAGGAAGGGGCGTGGGTGGCATCCAGGATGCTGGGACGCCGCAGCGACCGCAGCAGCGGCTGCTCAAGCGCGTGGGCGGAGGAGCCGGAGGAGGAGCCACTGGTTCGCCTCTGGTGTGTCCTCCCACGCCAACTCATCATGCAAGGCGACATGCCCGCCTGCAAGCCGTCACTGCCAACTCCAGCGGAGCAGGAGAACCCAGTGTAGTCGCCCCTAGTCAATTGGAGCCGCCGCCCGATGAGGTGGTGCATATTAGTAGCACCCGTTTGCCCTCCATTCCCGAACGCAGTGCAGCTGCGGCAGCGGCGGCGGCGGCAGCAGCAGCGGGAGCAGCTCTCATGGAACCCGGAACAGGTGTTGCAATGTCCAGCGGAGCAGCGGGAGAGCCACCACTGCCGCCGGCGTGGGAGGCACGCATGGATAGCCACGGGCGCATCTTCTACATTGATCACACGACGCGGACAACCTCCTGGCAGCGACCAGGAGCGGCACCAAGTGGCGGACCAGCCGGGCGGGAGCAGCATCATCGCCAGCAGCTGGACAGAAGGTATCAGAGCATCCGGCGCACCATAACCAATGAGAGCAGAGCCGCTCAGCTGTACAATCTGCCTTCGTCGGGTAATCCTCCAGTTGCTGCTCCAGGTGCTCCTACTGCTCCTCCTCCTCCCCCCGCCGCTCATCCCGCCATCCTGATGCTCTGCCGCCCGGATTTCTACTCCCTGCTGCACACCAACGAAGCTGCGCTGGCCATTTACAATCGCAATGCCGCCTTGAAACACATGGTCATGCGCATCCGACGGGATCCGCAGTGCTTCCAGCGGTATCAGTACAACAAGGATCTGGTGGCGCTGGTCAACACCTTCGCACAGATAAGCAGGGAACTGCCGTCGTGCTGGGAAACGAAGCTGGATCAGTCGGGCAAGCAGTTCTTCATTGACCACCAGCATCGACGCACCTCCTTCATGGATCCCCGCCTGCCGGTGGAGTGTCCTCGGGTGGTGCGACATCGCCAGCAGCAGCAGCAAACGCAGCAGCCGACAAGTGGCGTGGGCTACTATTATCCCGATCTGGTGGATGGCAACTGCCTGTCGGCCACCAGTGGGCATATAAATGCCAGTCCGGGATCCTCGGTCTCTGGAGTGCCGCCCCTGCCGCCGCCCAGGCCCTCCTCCTCCTCCTCCTCCGCCGCCTCCTCATCCGCCGCCCGGAGCAGCCATGGTCATGGCCACAACTGCACCACCACGGCGGCCATTGCCTGTGCCTTGAGCATGGATCGCTCGGCGGGCGGAGCAGCCGGAATGGGAGCTACCGGAATGGCCGCTGGGTACGAGGATGTGCCCATTGCCTACAACGAAAAGGTGGGATTTTTGTCTGTTTTTGAGTTAGCAAGATTAGCTGATTTGAATCTCTGTTTGATTTTAAAGGTCATTGCCTTCCTGCGCCAGCCAAACATCCTGGAGATTCTGAGAGAACGCCAGGGACAGCACACCATGTCCCGGCCGCTGCGCGAGAAAATCAATATACTGCGAGTGGAGGGAGTTCCCGCTCTCGAGAGATTGGGCCACGACCTACAACTGACCATTTTGCTGAGGTGAGTGCAACGACCTTTTACACGAAACTGGAAAAAAGGTTTAAACGAATTCAAATTGTTGAGATCTTCCTAACAATTTATTGCAATTGTTGATAATAGGGATTTTTAATTATTTATTTGTGATTTGTTAGTGATGTTTACTGAGGATCTTATAGTACTAGATGGACCTCGCAGCCCTCGACTATACAAATATATCAGATTATGGGTTTTTTCTTATTATTTTCTAGTGGATTATTTAGTTAATTTTAGGGAAAAGAGATTATTATCATATTATTGACAATATAGTTGAGTTTTCTTTATAATGATCCTGTATTATAAATTCAATATACATTTTGAGGTATTTTACATTAAAATGGGGTTAGTAAAATATATCTAAGATCCATTTAATATATATATATAATTGTTAGACATGGGATTATATGCAAAACATTATTCTTAATAATCGAATTTGAGATAACTTTTTTTTTAAATTTAAATCTTAATTTTGAATTTAGGATCCAATGTCAAAATATAATATTATAATATTTTTTCAAGAGGAAGGTTTTTTTTTTACTGGAAGTTTATTTCTTTTTATTTTTTTAAATTGAAGTTTTTCCTTTTTTTTTAATGGAAGTTTATACCTTATCATTTTTGTTTTTAATGGAAGTTTATTCCCTATTAAGTATTAAGTTTTCAAGTCTGCAGTTATGATAATGTAAGATCATTATACATTCGCTATCTCCTTAAATCAATAGTTTATTTATAATAGTCTAGTACTCCAATTGATCCACCTGCCAGACAGCTGGAGGCCCTCGGAACTGGCGTGGTGCTAATGAACCCCTCGCCATGTTCCCGCTCACATGACGCACCGGTGGCCGTCACTCAATGGCTCCACCTGCACTTGACGAAGGTCCCAAATGCGAATCCAAAGCCAAATCCAAGTCCAAATCCACCTGGCCTGAAATTGCATTGCTTTGGTGCGTCATTTACTTGGCTTAGCTTGGGTTTTGTTTTGTTTTGTGGATTTGATTTAGAGCTGGTTCTGTTGGCTCCAATCGATTTTGGCGGCGGTCCTGCTTGAGTGCTCCGCATATGAGTGCGCTTAATTGCTTTTGAAAACCGTGTCGAAGGTTGTTGGCTAATTTTCCAAAACGCCAACTAGACAACAAACCACCTACCCACTAAACCACCAACCCACCAACCCACTGCAAGGCTACAGCACTTCGTCTTGGCTTCTAATCTCATTGCTCATTGTCTAATTGAGCGTGTTTCTTCAAAAAATACATTTATCGCACCGCTTCGACCACGAAAATTGAGGAACTGCAGCACATGCAGTCCGCTGACCTTAATCTTAATCCCAATCTCGGCGGCAGCTAAATGGAAAATGAAGTCGACAGATTATGTCGGCGCCTCTCAAGCTCTCAACCTATCAAACCATCAAGCCACCAACAATTCCGATTCCAATTCCGATCGAACCATTTAATTGCATTTCAATTAGCCAAATTGTCGCGCTTCATTGGCAAATGAGCCGTGGGAGTTTTCGTTATATTTATTGAGACTGGGGTTTAAAAAGGAAATATCAAGTTGTAGATATAATCAATCTTTTGGTAGATGGAGTCCTCATAGGAGGCTTTAATTTGTGGATAACAATAGAGCAGGGTCACCAAAACAATAACTTATAACTTGGCAAAATGCAGTTTGATTTTGGATTGAAAAATTTTCAAAAATTTAATTTTAAAATCTGGTTTGAATTTCAAATATAATTTTTGTCCAATTGGGAAGTATTTAAAAAATGTATATTATAATTATTCCAAATAGAAAATACAAAACATTTAAAATAGCTTCAAAAATTATTTTACAAAATTCATTTCATTTATTTTAATTTATGTCAGCACTACTTATTAAAAAAATTTTGAATATTGGCTTTAATTTGAATAAAAAATAAATTTTTTCCAATAGTGAATTTTGGTTTCAAAATTGCCTATTATTATTATTCCAATTAGAAATTACATAATATTATAAATAGCTTCAAAAAGCATTTAAAAAAATATTTTCATTTATTTTAAATTATTTCAAGTCTACTTAATGAAAAACTATTTAAAGTCTTGTTAAAAAAATATATGCTAAATGATTGATAGGAAAATGGTATATGCTTAAGCATAAATCAGTTTAACAATCTTTAAAGCAAAAAAAAAAAAGTTCAATTAGTCGGCTGGTCCATTTAACTGCCAGTTAACTTGTTAAGAAAACTATTTACACAAGCATTCGAAACCAATTGGATTGGGGAAGCACACACATATGGATATGTGGATACTATGACTCTACTCCCCGTTGAACCGGCTTAGATCAGAATCCGCAGTCCCAGACAATCTGCACTTGGCCATTACTCATATATGTTCCTCCACCCCTCTTTGCAACCCCCAAAAGGGGGTGTTCCACCTCAATGAGCAATTAATAAGCCGCCTAAGAGTCAGCAAATACGCGCATCTAGTTATTTACACATTTCGCCAGTTGGTTAAATGTTTTGTTTATTGCTAAATTACCCCTGGTAAAATATATAAATAACTGAGGGTATTTATAGTGCCTGGATGGGACATTCCGAGTCCGTTGTTTGGAGGAGCCACGCCCCCTTTGGGGGCAGGGCAACGCCCTAAAGCCGGAGCAGCTGCCCCATAAATATACGGCACTCTCCCCCGACTAATCCGCTAATTCCCCTCGCCCTCGCTTCCAATTTAACCCAATTCCAAATGAAGCATAATTTATTGGCCAAATAGAATAGCAACTCCAATTCCGAAGCCCAGTTCCAATCCCCCAGCGATCGTCTTTCTTTTTAGGCGGGGGTGTGGCAGTGTCGTCATTATTATCATTACCATTATCATTCGTAGACTCGAGTAGTAATCGTCATCGTTCAACTTCGTCGCTGACAAGTTTTCAGCTGGCCTTTGTAATGATCTTACCTCTGGGGTATTACTAATTTTCCTACGAAAAACTGTAAAGATAACATTAAAATATTTATTTAAGTAAATTCATCAACAATTTGCAATACATTTTATAATCCATCATGTAAAGAAAATATTTCACAGTTACTTAAAATATTACAAAAAAGTCTTAAAACATAAAAAAATTCGGAAAATATAAAAAAATTTTAAAATAAATAAAAAAAAATTTTAAAAAAATATATATATATTATAAAAATATTTTTAAAATGTTAAAAAGCTTTAAAGAAATGTAGTAAATATAAATTTAGATGCTTTAAAATATATTCCAAAAGTAAAAATATTGAACTAATAAGCACATTCAATAATTATAATATTTAAAATATTAAAATATTTTTTAAAAATATTAAAATATTTTTTTAAAATACTAAAATTTTTTTTAAAAATCTAAATATTTTTTAAAAATCCTAAAATATTTTTTAAAGTTACTAAAGAATTCTTTTAAAATATTACAATCTTTTTTACAAAATTGAAAATAGATTTTTCCAAAAATGCTTCAAATTGGGCATTATCACTATGGACGGCAGTCCATGTAGTGACGAAGCGCACCAGGAGAGTGTGCGAAGGCGACTACTATTATATAGCCGCAAAATTGAAAATCTGCTGTGATAGTCCAATCGTAATGTGTAATACACCAATCGAAAGGTATTGCAAAAACTTAAAGGATTGCATACCAAGACTTTAAGAAAATCGATTGGCTTGGGAGAGAGAGCGGTGAAAGTGAAAAAGTGAAAATTTCGAAATTTGGAGCTGTTGGAGCCGGTGGGGATAAATGCCCCCTCGCAATGTTTTAGTTGTATTCCTTTTGAAAATACCCGTCGAATGAGGGGTCATTTGTCAAAATCCGACGTTCCGTTCAAAAGTTATAGCCAAAATAAGATTTTCTTCTTCTTCCCAAAATGAAAATTAATTTCTGTTTGTCCACTTGTCCAAAATATGTTTTTTAAGTTCTGAAAATTTGATATGACGTTCATCACATCGATATAAAAAACTTTTGTTCTACCACTTTTGGAAAAACTAGCTAGTTTAGCGGGAAAACAGCTATAAATAGCTAAAATTCGGAAAGCCGTAACTTCTATACTACTAAAGCTACAGACTTGTGCTGCATCTCGTTTGAAAGGTATTTTTAAATGCTATAAACGCCTTCTATATGCAATTTGAGTAAATGTAATAGTTAAAAAGATATGAACAAAATAAAATTTGTTTAAACTTTTTTTTAGCTTTTTTTAATTTTCTCAAAAACGGCTCTAACGATTTTCCTTACAACTTTAAACTGTATAGCCCTTGAGATTCCTTAAATTTTGGTATATAACACATTACTGTAAAAAGTCACGTTTAAAAGTTATTTTTATACGAAAATAGCCACTTTTGCCAGCTCGAACAATTAACGCTCCCTGAGTATTGAATTTTGTGGGAGGGTATCCGAACTGTATTTTAGGGTCATGGAATCAGTAAATTTGCACTTAAGAGTTCCATATAGGAATCTTTTGTTCTACGACTTTTGGAAAAAGCCGCTACTTTAGCGGGAAAAAGCTAAAAATAGCTAAATTTCTTTAGTTTGTAAGTTCTACACTACTAAAGGTACAGACATGTGCTATACCTCGTTTAAAAGGTATTTTAAAATACTTCAACGCCTTTTTAACTTAATTTGTTAAAATACAATAGTTTAAAAATTATGATTGACCAATTTAAATTTAAATGTATATATTAGCTCCTATGAGAGCAAATGTAAACAAACAAAAACTTCTGATATCAAATAAAAACACCTCTTAACGAGGTAAAAAACTAGTGACGACCGCACCTTCAACATACAAAAGTTCTGATATCAACATTTGTGACGAAAAATTATTACACTCGTCATTAAATAGACTTTCTAATATTTTCTCATTCGGCACGCTGCAATAGAAAATGCCTGTGAAGGGAAAAATGCTGGAATAGTTTGCTAGGGCGGGCCGAATGAGAAAATATTAGAAAGTCTATTTAATGACGAGTGTAATAATTTTTCGTCACAAATGTTGATATCAG